CATTGAGAACCATACACCATCGTAGGCCCATATTCGTGAACAACCCATGAAATTGAGCTCTAATAAAGTAGTACTGATAAACCAAGCTACCTTTACAGCGGAGAAATGAACCAAGTATCACCGTGAGCATTCCTCATGATACAATGACGATCATCATAAAAAGGGGCATGACTCGCTACAGCATTTTCTTTCAAATGTTGCCGCATTCGATAATGCTCTTTTCGAACGCAACCCATACAAAGAGTGATGACGCGAGATGCTTAGGTGATGACAGAACGAGCTGTAGTGATATTATTGTGCATGATTCGTTAGTAGACAATTGTAATGATACCGGAGGGGCCGAGCTGAGTCGGTGGCCGTCTTAGGAAGATGACGTGGCCACACGGACTGACTTCTGGATGTACTAGATAATCTCCCTCAGACCTGTCATAGTTTAAAGTGGATAATAAATTCATACGATGAGTTTTAGCATCCAATGATAACAATAACAATTGCCCCGAGCAGCAAGAGACGTCAACCGGAACTGTTTTTTCTTCAGGAGAAAGTTCAGTTTGCGTTTCAACGAAAATAGTATCATCAGTGAGGAAAGTGACCGAAACCAGATTGTCAGCCTCAAACGGAGCCTCGAACTTTGTCGCCTCGCAGAGAGATCCCTGCTCATCAACTACGATAAACTCATTCACAGCATCGCGACGACTATTGTATATAATTAGATAGTGGTCGGTGCCCATCTCAAAAACGTCAAACACGTGGGCTTGAGTATCCGTTGTGAAGATCAGCTCAGATTCTTTGGTCCACGGATCGAGCCGATGAATCTTCAAATCCCAAAAACCAACGAAACCGTAGTAGAGCAATCCATGATGATGGACCAAGGTCCAGAAGATGGCGGGTTCGTCGTTAACGGGTGGATGGGTTATGGTTATAGGTTTACTTAGGGACGGAGCGTGCAGGAGGGCATTCACGCAATCATCCTGCTCAATCATATCAATGATGGAGTGTCTACTGATATCTAAAGCTTTATTGAAGGCCATGTTACGATACCACCAGCTGTTGGGGCTACATACCTTGCATCTTGCGCCACCATCAGAGAGGATAACTCGTGGACGACTCTCACACAAGTACGAACCTATTGCAGCCACAAGCTCAAACGGTAGCCGCTTAGACTTTGTATGCTGCGTCGCAGCAGACAGCTGAAGGGCCACTCTCTCGGCTAGAGCTGACATTCTCACGTTCATTTCAGTTTGGTCAACAGAAAAACAATAAACTTGTTTTATTCATGCAAATTTAGCGGAGCGTTACGGTAGTGAAATCACCTCTGTAACGAGAGAGTATGCAAAACTGGCACACACGGCGCAGAGCACACGATCTGCAGGTCCATACGCACACATGCGTGCAAGATGCGTGTGCGCCAATCACATGGAACTTAACCTGTCAATCCCTTGGTTCCATGTGGAGTAGCAATACACCCCTGGCCTGGTGTGCTTTAACCACACCCACCCGACCCTGCGGAAATGCGCTGGGCCCGTATCGGCGTGCAACAAGTAGAACACAGTTCACACCATGCCGTGCTTGCCACATATGACCTTTGCCGCTTTCGCAGGTCATGGATTCCCCGATCACGACTCCAGACACTGTCAAGACATGTGTGCACTCACGTGTGACACGTGACGCGTCATGCGGACTCGCTACGTTTCGCGATATGGAACGTCTAAGGCGCTGCATATCCTCCGCATCCTTGATCATGTGTGGTGTGGCTTAGGACGGGTTAGACTTCTGAGTGTAATGGTACACGCATTGGATTGTATCGCTGCTATGGAATAGTATTATAGGATTGTTTATGGTAGCTTACTTGAACGAATCTATGTTCGGCCGCCTTCACCAGCTCATACTCGTCGGTCTTGCCCTATCCCGCGATCCCGATGGTAAATATCAAATGTTCGTGGCTAGCCCTTATATGGCTCTGCAGTATGTATTCTCACACCATGCCCAAGAAGTAGAGATTAGTTTCTTCTGTGGGTTTGGTGTGAGACCAACCAAGGAGATCTTTTCTGTCAATAAGATGTCTGATCAGCTCTACAAAATACCTGTCACGGAACCGGGGAGCTGGATCCCAGATCCTAGATGGGTGATCATCAGGAAAAGCTTTGCTGCCAAATGTCCGGCGTACATACTGCAGCGAGATGACTTCAGCAAAATAGAGTACAATAGTAAGTATGACCACCCGACTGTTGATGTGGCGGGTGAGAAGCGGGAGTTAGTACACACAGATTAGTTGATATTTTTCGTCGGTAGAACTCTCAGCGTACCAGTCGCTTTGGCTACCACTATTCAGATGTTTGTTGGTCGTTCGATTTACTATTATTATGCGGGTATGTCGAGTAACTCTGGGCGCTTCATCTCCAATTCTGCAAGCATTTTCGGGCAATACGGTGACGTCGACTCCTCGAGTGTTGTAGTACTCGTAGTGATTTTATTGACTTTTCATGAATATCATTGACGATTCGCAGCTCAGCCATGTGTACCATTTCTCTGTCGCTTTTGCTTCCGTTACGAAAGTTCTGTGGTAAGTATAACCTCCTGGTAAACGGATTAATAATCTTTTCGACGCTTTACCTTATTTCCTGTACGTCTGTGTGATACCATTATAG